AGCTTAAAACAACGGAAGCAGAACCAGGAACAGAACGAGTTGTGATAGCCAACGGAAAATTCATTTAATGGTCTGACCAGGCCCGCAAAATCTTCTTGTAATGATCGCGAAGGAATTTACCCCACAAACACAGCACACGAGGGGAACAACAAGATCGTGTGCATCACACATAGGTTTCCACGACTAAGTATTCGTATGGACAACTGAACTGTTCAAATCAAACCGTTCTTTTTTTTTTTATAATGAAATGCATAATTCGCAAAATAGGACAAGTTTTTACCAACTTTTAACCTTTACTGAATGTGCATTTTCCCGACATGTAGGCTTATGCTGAAAGCACGTGATGTCAAAAACAGCTGAATGATTTTGAGGAAAAAGAGTTGATATTGTTACACATAATTGGGAATTCCTTATCTGAGCTACTCAATAAAGGATCGCTATGGTGGTTTGGCTATCAATTCTCTGAAACCGCAACAGTAGATTCATGCAGAAATGCCGATCGTAAAAAGCGTGAGTGGCTGGCTTTTCTCGCACCCTTCGAACTCTAATGGGGTAGTTCTTTTGCAAAGATTGTCCTATTTCCTCTTTTACGACAATTCAATGTTAGAAACACTCTTTTGCATGTATAATCGTTCTAGTAGACCACTTGCAACATGATGAATGCGTTATATTAATTTGAAATAATTTGGAAAATGTTGCATAACATTTACGAATCTTGCACAACATTTACGAATATTGTATCAAGTGGCACTCATTCAGTTTGGTGGGTGGGTTCCCTTATTGCAAAAAAACTGCTCCAAAGTATTTAAAAGTTTGAAACTGGATAATTCATTTGAGCAATGTACAACAACCAATGCACATCTTTTCCTGCAGATTTTAAAAGGTGACCTAATAATATCATTTGATTTCCAAAAATAATTAAATCGTTACAGAATAGACTAATTAATCCAAAAGTCGTACACATTTCTGAGAAACGAGAATTTTGTCCACAATGGTGGACGCTCTCACCTTGAACTCAGTTATGGAAATATCACCGAATACATATATTTTTAACATGCAGTGAGAGATCAAACGATATGAAATCATAAGGATTATCGCATTTACCAAACAGATATGAGTTGAGCAAGTCTCATTCATCCAATTGTCTTTCTTTTCTCGATGCAGCTTAAGGCGTTTCATACGCAGTAACGAAAGTGACCTCAAGGATAATACCTCTTGAAAAATATATCTATGCTGCCCTACATTAAAGTTTTGCAATTTTTTAGTCTTGATCCCGTAAAGAATAAATTTCAAACAGTTTCTGACTAACGCGAGGAAGAAATCTGACTTGAACTCCATGCAGCTCAGATTTTTCTAATGGATACTCTCTTACAAGAGGTACAGGAAACTATGTGGTAAGGTAATTTGACCACTAAGATTTTATGCGACAAACACCCTTCATGCTGCAAGGATCAACCATGTCACAAGCGTGCATGTGCATAGATGTAGTTCCTAGTGGTGCAGAAAGTGTTATCAGCTGAATATGCAAATATGGTGACAATAAAATGATTTTCAACTAAACATACCCACAGTTGAGTTATTTTGTGATGCTGTAGTGAAGCTAACGCAAGGAAAATAGAGCAAAATGTAAAATAGACATACTTCACGCTCCAGCCTTTGTTTCCGACCTTGTCCGATTGCCACAGACGTTGTGGTTTTCCAAAGGATCCTCGGATGTTACAGAAGATGTAGAATGGTCTCATCGAAAGGCTAAATTTACTCTGGAAAAACCAAAAGATTCCTCTCCATAGACTTGCCATTAATTATAAATTCCTTTTTTCCAGGGTAGCCTACTCGTGTTTGTTGCATTTGGCTTGAACTCACTCAGACATTAAGGAAAGAATTCAAAGAATGTGGAAATCTATATGTACGATAATTCAGCTGAACACGTGGAAATCACAAGAGACAAGCAAACAGACTCACTCTGTTCAAGTAATATGGAATTCGCTAATAGTCCTTCTCGGGAAAAATCAATTAGAGAGGATTGATAGTATGATGTCGTTTGCCCTTTGGTACAGTGATTGCATAATAACACAAAAGGGTTTGCACGCGATAAAAAGCATGTCATGCGAGGCAAACAGTTTTCATGCATTTTTAAAATAATTTTTGCTTCTTGAAGGACATTTTCTCGGTCAAGATGAATTCTCTTGGAAACGACTAGAAAACTCACTGGAATCACCTCGATACAATTGCGTCAAACCAAGTTTCAACAGACGGATTAGCTAGAGCTATCCATGAGATTCTCTTGGATCACAACCACGCTTGAAGCAGTTCTACGTATGGATTTGAACTTAAAGACACAGATACACATAAGGTCAGGAGGTGCGCGGGGAAAGGGACTCAACAAAGTAACTAAAGGAATGCCCCAGAGGTGCAAATCCTTACACTTCGAAACTACACGTTCGATTAGCAAAATAAATTAATAAATTAACTAAGGACTCTNTTAACAATGCTTCAACGGGACGCATTTTTTTAACGTTTGTTTTCCTTTTTCAGCTCACTGCTCTCTCCCCATAACACGTGGATAAACGTGTGTCTGGTTTATCAAAGTGTCATCACTGACATATTTTTCCGCCTAGTGCAACCCTGATAGTTGAAACCAAAAGTTTGCTTTCCGGTTGCAGTTTCAAATTTTCTGTGTTTTTTTTCGCCGGCAAAGTAGAAAACTTTGCCTAAGTGCGACCCATACTAAGCTTTATGGAAGAGTGACTACATTCCCCAAATTCTCTCATAAATATGTCAAGGCAAGGTCTCTTGTGCTTTCTGCTAAGAAATTGCAAGCCCAGTAAATGTAACAGTATCTATATTATTATTTTTTTTTTTTGAGCCAAAAGTTTTGGACATATCTCTCAGCCGAGAGTTTGCTTTCCTTAAAATTCCAAGGAAAACAAAACTCCGTTTTGAGAAATTGAAAGTTCGGCCTATCGCAAATTGATTAAGGTGAAGTGACAGTGTACTCTACGAGCATCAATAGGCACCTTTAAGAGAGAATACTGTGAAAACCTTCTTTGTTCATAAAAACATCTATGTAAGAAACAAAATAAAATGAAGGCTTATGATATCTCAGGTATTGGACAATCATTTGATAAACAGACGGAACTGGGGATTTGAGCAAACTGTGTTGAGGCAAAATTGTCTCTGTCAACTGATGAAAAATCCACTTTGGGTTCATTGCGCAATTTTTTGCGAGTAAAGCAGCAAAGCTGCTGAATTTCGACTTGCTCGCGGTGGTCAAATTTTCTCGACGTAAATGGCCCCGCCTTCTAAAGATAAGAAAAACACCAGTCCAGGATAATTCAAGGTAAAATACACTTTGAGTCCTAGCCAAGAGGTCTGATATTCCTTCTGAGAAGTCAGAGAGGATGCCGAGAAATGAATTATTCTAAGAATTCAGTTAAGAGCTATTTTGGACGATGATATTTTCCACGAACATTTTTGGCCAAACATCAAAATCTGAACAAAAACAGTAAAAAGCATCCAGCAGTGGACGAGGAGAGAGCTCAACCGTGTGAAACTCCGATAACAGCGAAAAAAAAAACAGAAAAAAAAAAAAAAAAGGGCAGGTCTTCGACGATAAACTACTGAATAGAACATCCTCTTGGAGTGGGTTTTTACAGTTTGGTAAAACCTTATAAAAAACATGGCGTAAAACTTTGATAATTGTTAAAAAGAGGAATAATCCTTAAACAACGAAGGCAAAAGTTATCGCTACAAAACAAGCAATCTTAATAGATGTATGTGTAACAAAAACGAAAAACGCTTTTTTTTTTCCCCCCACGGTGTTCAGACCTAACTTAACAATCATTATGATAGATTTCACATAAAAAAAAAATATATATCAAATCAGTTGAATCCAAGGTGAACGACGCCCAATACATTTCAATTTCTGTGGAGTTTCAGGCATAAAAAGGGAACTCGACATTTGAAGAGAGCATCTTAGAGTAAAAAGGTTGTGGGAAGGTTTACGTCAGAATACCTAATTACACCTTCAAGCCTCGCTTTCAAGGTGCAGACAGGTAAATTTGTGCGAAAAAAATATTCACAAAATACCGAAATCAAGAGATCACTCATATGAAATCCTTGATATTAACGAGGCTAGGGGTGAACTTTGGAGTAACTGAAGACAATTTTTAAAAAATGAAGGCCTTATTTTGACGATCTCAGTTTTAAATTCATCGGTAAAAGGGCCTTAAAAAAGCCAAAAGTAAAACACACCGGTTTTATCATATCATCACGCTCTACGATAACTGTGGGCCAGTTACTTCTCCGGGGAGTTTTCGGAAGTCCCACTGAGAGTTGCTCTTCTGATCAGTATTACTTACATAATTCTGGAGATTTCTGCTGAGCGCACGTGCGGCGCGTGCAGGAAAATTTTCCTGTTTGACCGGATACAATCCAGTTTCTGCAAGGTGAAAGTTTACTTCTCCAACATGGAACGGAAAAAATCCGTTCTTACATTTTTAATTATTGCCAAAAGGTCTGGGTAGCAACAGATAGGTCACGAATTTAAGAAAACATACGACATTTTTCTGTCGAGGCATGTTTTTAAAAAATGTCGTATCTTTTCTTAAATTCGTAACTTTTTACTATATATTCTTAGTCTCTGTTTTTGCTAAGAGGGAATTCGTAATATAAATAACCTTGTTATTTGTAAATCCCTTTAATGACTGTTTGAAGTGTTTTCAAACCAGAATTACGCTAGAACTTTCAAACTGGATTATGCATTAAGAGGATTTGCTCCCTTTTGACTTGTTTCTCTTTCAGTCAACATTTTTTAGTTTAAAGTTCATTTAATGGTTAAATAAAAAAGACTTTCCGTTTCATGGGATTTTCATCAGATAATCACTGGAGTAAGGTGTTTGTCTAAACAAGGATTTCGTTCAACTGGTTTTTCAAATTATGTCGGCCTTGTGATCAGAGGATCTCAAAATGTATGTTTGTTATGTTAATTTTGAACTTACCAGAGGTATCCTCTGATGCTGACAATAGAACAGAACTGTCTGCTGAGAATTGTGTAGCATACACTGGGCCACTATGACCATGTAAAGAAACCCTCTCGCTTGATACAGTTTCCAGTTTTGGTGTGCATGGAAGGAAATCTAGACATACAGAGAACAATTCTATATGAAAAAATGAATTTGATTGTAAAGAAACTGTTGTGCTTTATCAACGGAAAAGAGAATACTTAAGCAGTTTCCTTATGCGTATCATTAACACTCTAACCCCTAAGGGTGATGAACATATAATTTCTCCTAATAGAACCCCCCTGAATCAAACATTCAGGTCAGGAGAATAAAGAAAATGATCAACTAAGGAAGCTCTTGATTGTTAAACAAACTCTCCTTGTAAGGACTAAAGGAAATGTAGAGAGAACAGTATGGAGAATATGCATCCTGATGTTAAGGCATTTAAGAGTTCAGCAGCTAGAAGTGTTGCCATTCATGACTAATAGTTTGTTCTCCCCTTAAAGATAAATTCCAGCACTTTGTTAAGTTCCCCTTGCAGTTCCATAATTTGAAAACATAGTTGAAGAGATTTTATTGTAACATTGAGATATCCAGCACTACAACAAAGCACAAAGTCCCAGGGAAAAGCCAACCAATGCAGACTTCTTGATGCAGCATTCAACCTGCTCCCCACATCTCCCGACAGGTTGTTCTAATACTAAACAAAAATTTAAAAAATTCTGATATGAAAAAATAGTTCAAAAAGTTTGTTGGGCTGTTAGCTTACATAAACCAATAAATACCTGGGGCTAGTTGTACTTTAGATATTTCTGGTTTACTCTTTGATTGCACAAGTTTCTTTGGTGTCAAACTCCACAGAAGGATTGAGGAATCTTCAAAGCCACCACAAATAAGACCAGCATCTTTAGAAATGGCGGCAGAGCTTAATCTTCAGAACAAAAAAAAAGCATGAGCAAATACAAAAAAAAATTGAAAAAGATATTCTGCACACCTTTTTGTTTTCATAAAAAAATACTGAATTTTCAAAGCAGATTATGTTTGATATAAAGATTATTATACAATCAACACCCTTAAATCTTTTCACTGCCAGGAGAGACCAACCAATATATTCTCTTTACAGTGTCATTGTGATATCAGGCTGATTGGTGGTGAGAATTAAGTAAAATATCAGCAAAGGGACATTGCTTGATTAAGCACAAAATCTTAAATCCAACATTGTAAGAAACGTATGGCAGAATGTAAGAGTTGTTAATTTGAGGAAATTGTGATTGTTAAGACTGAAGCAAGTGGAAAACAAAGACATCAGAATCATTGATCAAGAGGAAATGAAATTTGTCAGATATCTGGTTTTTGATGAGTCCTGCCTATGATCGTCACCACACACCTTTCACTCTGCTTCAGACAGAGAGTTGGGGGAGACTTACAATAGGCTAAAATCTCAAGTACAAGAAGCAGAAACTCTAAATTGTTATGAAAACTGGCAAATCCCCAGGGTTGCCCACTGGGGGGGAGTCCCTAGGGTTTCCCCATTGGGAAGAATCCACCGGGGTTGCCCCCCAATATGGCAGAGTCACTTTTCGTTTTTTTCACATACAGTTCTTACCCTTGGTAAGCATTCACAAAGGAGTGGAAACAAACTGGGGGCAGACAAGCAGGTCCATTCCTGATACGCCCAATACTTTCTTTCAAAGCCACCAGGCTCTCGTTTTCTTTTTCTGCGGTAGATTTCGCTTGTTTACCGCCTCTTGTGGCTCTGTAATTTGACACCGGTGCTTCTGTTTCATCCGCTTCCATTTCATCGCTGGTTTGCTTCTGTCCTGGTTTACTGTGCGATATCTCTATGCTAAAGTGTTTGTTCAACAGATGAAGCAACAGCACATGATCGCCACTTCTCAGAAATTGGACGAAATAAGTAAACACTTTGTTACTTAGTTTGACGACGTATTTACTTCGTCTAAAATTGGACGCAGTATCGCTCGATTTTAAACGTTCTAAGTCCGTTATCGCTTGTAAATGTTGAATTTCCTCTTTGTGCTCGATCGAGAAGTCGCCACTGTGCTTTGTGAAAAGCTCTTGAGCAGAAATCGTTTGGCCCTTCGCAACAAGATCCAAATAGATGTTGGCAAACATCGGGAACAAAAATTTGGAAAGTTCCACTCTATAAGCCGGATTTGTTCCCGTTATGAATGATTTTAGACTGGAGAATTGTTCATTTAGCGTGGCTGGGTCTGAACTGTTGGTTGCAAACGAGAATACATTAGGAATGCCACTTTCATTGCAAACCGTTCTCTTGCAAGCCAAGTCCTCCATTTTGTGCTCCACTGAGAAGTCCTTCAGAGAACTTTCACTCTCCGTGTACTTTCGCTGCTTTAAAAAGCTCGTAATTACATTAGATACCTGTTCGTTCATCTGATTCTTTTCATCTGCGCTCATATTTTATTTCAATCGTGCTTTTATAGTTCTTGGCATTAGTCAACGGCGTGGTCCGCCATTTTTTAAGAAAATTTACCGCTGAGTATTAATTGAGCCGAAACTATTCGCGATCGTCACGAAAGCGTCACGCCATTTTGCAAGAGTGCGTCACGCAAAGAGTGATATTTTCACTTTATTAAAAAAAAAAAAAAAATGATTCGCACATGATTATCGTGCGAGTTGATATTCAGATCCCATGATGGGGGCTGTTTGAAATATTATTATGTTTTAAAAACACGAAATCTCTGGCAATAGAAGAGCAGTCAATTCTTGGGACTTCAAGCGTAAACTAATTTTGAAAGTTCGAAAAAAAGAGTAAGGTGCTTTCTAGATTTCTGCCACGGTTTCTCTTTTTGAGGATCTAAAAAAAAATCGTGGAACAACACAGAATTAATGAAAATGTCAAAATATCGTCTACTTAAATCATCCCAAATGTCAAAATTTACATATCATTTACTTATTATTAATTTCTTATTGCATAAGGAGGTAGAAATAGATACCGTAACAGAGCAAAGGGCATAAAATGGTAGAGCCACCGTCTCCTCTATTTCATCAGTACTCTGCGCTGTGTGTTGTAGAACGCAGGTAGGCCAGTTGGAATCTGTGAAATTTTTTTAATACATTTACGATAGAAAGGTTACGAGGTCTACGAAAGCAAACAAGCGTTCTTGTTTATTGCGGATTCTCCGAGGTATGTAAACTGCAAAAAAAATTTTTCTTTCTTTATCGATTTTCTTTCATCGTTGGAGTTGCTCCACGAGATAAGTAATCTTACTTCTTTCTCGGTTCAAATCAGAGTGAAGTGCTACATTTCTGTCAACAGTCTAAAACGAAAAATTCAACGCGATCACAAGTTTATGCTTTTTTGTTTTATTTTGTTTTTTGTTTTTATCTGTTCATGTTTATTCCTGGCAGCTCGCTTTAAGCAGAATCCTCCGAGCACAGGTCCACGGGTACTACATCTGTACACTACTGTCATTGTACAAGAACAAAAATATGAATTTTTTTAGGAGAGGGTTGCATTTAAAAACCCAAAATGGCCTAGGCGCTTGAAAAAATAGCTGACCGGTCTCTCCTTATTGAGTGCATTGTCTCAGGTGCAGTTTTTTTGGGCCATGCATATGCGCATAGCGAAGCCGATGCAGAGCAACTGCAGAATACCCTGCCATTCATTTACATGTCAAAGAACGAAGATAACACAATAGAGGCTATTCTTATTCATTGACAAAAATGATGGCAGGGTATTCTGCAGTTCAGCCATTTTTATCAAAATTGTTGAAAAAAAAAATTAAAATCTTGTGACGAAACTGCAACCTCGCTACGTTTAAGTTCCGAAGGTCAACGCTATAGCTCCCTCTTTCCCTTAGGGTGATATTTCGAATATTTGAGTATCGTTTTACCCGATCAGCCGAATACATCGTCGGATTTCGACGGAAAATCTTGAACAACAGTGACACGTGCACGTGCCCGACTCACGTTGTCTATATCCAAGTGATTTTTCTATCTTTTAATGCTGAAAGTCTTTGTAGGGGTGTTTTCGTATAAGGTACGGATGTTAAGAAACTGTTTTCACGCTTTTATTGAACGAATGTTAACCTAAGTCACACATGTTCTGAACCCGGGGGGGTACTCCCATATGAAACAGACGGGGATGCTCGTCGTCTCGCTCAGGGGTGAATGATTTTCGATTTTGGTCTCGCTTAGGTTGTTCCGGGCAAAGCGCCAATATTTTAAGCCGCCAAGGTTTCGTTTAGGGTTCCGCGAAGAAACACAGAATGACGCGAAGAGAAACAGAAGTCAAATTTTCTTTTTAACTTATTTTGTTTACCGTATTACCTCTGTAATTATAAATCAAAGATTGGTCTCCTTTAGGGGTCACAAAAAGCTTGAGCTACGCCCAGATGTCTCCTTTAGGGGTTAAATTCAAAATTTCCGACTAGCATCCCCGTCTGTTTCATAAGGAAGTCTCCCCCGGGGTTCTGACGTTCATCCGTAATCGGACAAGCTCTCGTACACCTCGAACACGGACAGCGAGGACTTCCGAATATTCCCGAAAGTACTCCAAAGTCCAAGTGATTAGGAGGGATTACGTGAAGCGCGTCTTCTGTAAAGTTCTCGAAAGAAGGTCAATTTCGCGTCGGTGGAGGTACAGTATTGGGTTTCACCCGAGGGCTCCTTCGATCACCAAGAATAACATCAACACTGAGTTTACAGAGCTATTGCGACACCAGAAGAAGTGGACATCTAAGCCGTTTACGCAATTTACGTCGCTTAAGGCCAAAGTGTAAAGTGTCATTTGTATCGGCAAGATTCCAAACAACTCAGGTAATTTGTTGACCAAGTGCAATTTTAAAATCTTCGTGCACCAGTGTCACTGCCTTTGGAGTTAAGAAGCGGTTTAAATTGCCACCACGTTCTCCGAACGAGAGAGGCACCAGGCCAGCCATGTCAGCTGGTTGAAATATTTAATGTCTGGATGCAGACTTCTGTATCGTCTGGGTGCTCGGAAAAGCGCTTATCTCGTATCACGATTTTATCTATAACTTGTACAATCCCGGCAGCATTATTGATATTCTTGTCATCCGGGTGCACTTGGGAAAAAGGCAATTATGGCTATTTTTTGGCAATTCAATGTACGCTTAAAATTCTGCTTAATCCAATTTCATGCATGTTTCGTTAACAGTATTGTCTAGTTATTCTTCCTCCCTCTAATGTGTTGATTACTACTCGAGCCAAATTTACAAGTTTGTGTATTAAAAGTAGACAAGGGGTTTTCGAGCTACTGTTGGAGCCTCGTGACGTCTGGAGATTAATGGAAAGAGGGGGGGGGGATACATTTTGATCAATTGGGCTTTCTAAGTTCATCGAACTAACCCAGAGCGATTACACCCTCAATGTAACGTTGTCTTTATTGGCACACCCCGTGCAAACAGTTCATAACAAAGAGGGCAAACTTGGAGCTTTGAGGAGGAATAAAGAAAGATGTAATTTTTCTGTAGAGTTAGCCAGAAACAAACCCAGATTCAGGTTTTTTTACCTTCCGTTAGCTAACTCTTAGCATGTGATTCCTCTTAAATTGGTAGACCTACCAATCCAAATATCAAGTTCTGTTGACTGACTGTGACCGTTTGTTATTACTTCATAGAACAATAAAAGCAAATTTACACAAGCTGCATATAGCATTAGCTAGCTAGTCTTGGTGGGTACTAGTAATAAATAAGTAAAATTATATTACACATTTTAAGCTAAAGAGATTTCATTACTACAATATTACTGGGGTTATAAGCCATGCATTAGTTTACTACATTATAAGCTAAAAGATACCTACAGTTGTCATACAAATTTTACAATAATAATACAATAAAATTACTAGTGAGTTAAAACACTTCTTTATTCTTGCAGATTAGATCACCTTTATTATCAAGCAACATGTTTTCAGCTATTCCTTTTGCACGGTCACTATTTGAGACTTTGACAAAAGCTCTCACAGGAAGAGATGAGGTACATAGCCATAAAATTGTGCCATCAATTGTGCCATCAATTCAGCTGCATAAGAATACAAATGCCACCACCTTAGCAAATGTGTGGAGAACAGTTTCAAGGAAATGCAAACTCTTGTTGGGGGTGTAAATGGTTAATTATTACATAGACACCGATGAAATACCAGGATTTCTCCTTTTACTAAAAAATCATATCTTCACCGGGCGCAGTGAAGATACTATTTTAATTTAATTTAATTTAACATAATTTATATAGCGCTAACTCCACTAATTGACCAAAGCACTTTACAATTCGTAATATTAAAATAATTAAAAAGATCCCACTGGTAATGAAATATGGATAAATTAAAAACCTATTTGAAGACTTATTTATAAAAATATCGCAGTAAATCCTGTTCCAAATTATCAAAAAGTTAAACACTATATGCTTTTTTAAAAAGATCGGTCTTTAAGTGTTTCTTGAATAAATTAATTGTATCTAAACTTCTAAGATCTAATGGCAGCTCATTCCAGAGTTTAGGTGCAGCAACGGATAAGGCCCTGTCTCCGTATGTTTTAAGTCTTGACTTTGGAACAGCCAGAAATTTTTGATCAGTAGAGCGTAGCGTACTTGAACATGTACGATAACTAAGTAATTCTGTGATATATAATGGTGCCATACCATTTAGGGCCTTATAAACTTATAAACTATTTTTATCTTTCACGTGTGAGGATATTGGTGTGGCCATGGTTACCAACATAATTACCCAATTGCTGTTTCGAAAATAAATAAAAAAAGTTGTCTTTTATGTGGAAATTTCATCAGTATCTATATAATAAACAGAACATTACATGGCCGCTTGGGGATATGAATTTTATCTTCTTGTGCTGAAAGTATATCTCACGAGTGAGCTGCGCTCACTCGTGAGAGATACTTTCAGCACGAGAAGATAAAATTCGTATCCCCGCGCAGCCATGTAATATCCTCTATTTCTGTCCACCAGCACTCAATTTTCAGGTCATTTACAAGCGGCTGGAATCTCACCTTACATATTTTCAGTCAATGATAGTTAGAAGCAAACAGCTTGTATAGATGATACCTAACGACAATTACCCCTGACTTTCAGTATAGAACATCCACTCTCAAATAATAGTCAAAAAATCAAATTACAAATTAAACTTTTGTTGATTTTGCTTTATTTTTCTCAGGTGTTAGAGGTTTTGGGTGCCTTTGACTTGTCTAATGAATCACTGGAGGAAATCATGAGTCTTCTTATGAAAGACTTTGAAAAAGGCCTCTCTGCTGATGAAAGTGAGCGAGCACAAAGCCCAATAAAAATGCTTCCCACATACGTAAGGGCAATTCCTGATGGCTCTGAAGTGGGCGACTTTCTTGCCCTGGATCTAGGTGGAACAAACTTCAGAGTTCTAAAGATCTCAGTTGAGGATGGCAAAGTAAACATGGAAAGTGACATATTTCCTTTGGCCCAAGATCTGATGATCAGTGAAGCAAATATTTTGTTTGATTACATTGCTGGCTGTATATCACTCTTTGTGAAGAAAAATAAGATAAGTGAGAAGTCGCTGCCATTGGGGTTCACATTTTCATTTCCTGTGAAGCAGTTATCCCTAACATCTGGCCTATTGATAAGATGGACAAAGGGTTTCAGTGTTGCTGGAGTGGAGAATGAAGATGTTGTCAAATTGCTGCATGAAGCACTTGTTAGAACTGGAGTGGTGAGTTTCACAGTTGTGGTTCTAAGTTATAGATAATTTCTAGGGAATTAATCAACAGAATTCTGTTGGGCCTGAATTTGTTCAACTTTCTGAAACTGTTGAATTAACATGGATGGGAATACAAACATTTTTGATGCTATTCAACTAATGCACCCTCAAAGAATGATGGAAGTTAAGCAATACACAGATGCCATAGTAGCTTGAAGCATTTGGCTGATCAATGTTCAAATTTTTTATTTTTATCCTTACTCTCCTCTATTTGGATGGACTGTTCAGACAGACCCCCTCAAGTCCGGATAACTGAGGCTCGACTGTACCAGTGAATCACTTGCGAGCTACTTTTTAATTGCACACCTTTCTGCTCCTAATACTTGTTAGGGGAGGTCAAGGAAGCAGGAAGCTTAATGTATGCTTATAAGGGAAGCAAGGATGACACAGTGGTGAAAGTGCTCGCCTCTCACCGCTGTGACCCAGGTTCGATTCCCAGACATGGCATCACATGTGGGTTGAGTTTGTTGTTGGTTCTCGTCCTTGCTCCTAGGGTTCTTCTCCAGTTCCTCCAGTTTTCCTCTCTTCACAAAAACCAACATTCCAAATTCCAATTCGATCTGGAAATAGTGGACAAGAAGAGCCACCCAGTAAATTTTGAGTGTTTTTAATGTGAGCCACCCGCTTGGAAGATTGGGCAACCGCTTCCTACATTATCGACTTTAAATAAATTATTATATGCTATAGAAATTTTATTCCCAATATAGGATCTTTTCATCTTTAAATTCTGTCGTTTTGTAGAGCGCTAGTGTCGATGTTGTGGCCCTAGTCAATGACACTACAGGTACAATGATGTCTTGTGCATTTGAAAATCCATCAGTCAGTGCTGGATTAATCTTGGGCACTGGAACCAATGCATGCTAAATGGAGAACCTTGATAATGTTGCTAAATGGGATGGTGACAGAGATGAACCACGACAAGTTATTATTAACACAGAATGGGGTGCATTTGGTGATAATGGAAGCTGGAATCACCTCCGAACGAAGTACGATGAACAAGTGGACAAGGAGTCCCTGAATCCTGGAATGCAATTGTAAGTGAAGTCCAGGTTGTGATCAATACCAGGGTAGCCAATCACCACAAGTAAATGATTTGAATTGATAAATCAGTAAATAGTTCATATTTTCATAATTATGACCTGTCTGGCTGATGACAATGAGTAGGGCCGCACAGGTTGACACGAGCTGGTCTGGAAAGAGCTATCAGACCCTGCACAGGTACCTTTGTAGCAAAAAATGTTAAGGAAAAGAAGAAAAGAGTAAAAAAAAAAAAATGTGTTTTTGACGATTGGTGGCTTTGTATCCTTCTGTATTATGATTTGACTTGAAAAAACAAAGGAGAAGTTTTTTTTTTTTTTTTCCTAAATTTTCAACAGTTAGTGGTTATACGATAAAATGCTTATTGACGGAGTTTTGTTGGGCCGAATGGGGAAATATTTGGCTGCAGGTCATGACAAATGGACCAAGCACAGCAAGATCTGTGCGCGATGACCTCGAGCCAAATTAAGTTTTCTGTCTGCCCCCCCCCCCCACTCAGTCAATAACGAAATATTATGATTTGACCCATATGACCCTGCAAGCACAACCCCCATTGGAAACCATGGTGAAAGCTAATGTTTGTAGGGTTGGATGTTTTGATGGAGCTGGTCTGGAAAAAAACCTGTCTTGCCTTGCACCCACACAGCTCTGTAGCATTTTCTAAGAGCATGAATTGGAATTGTGAACTTCAACATGGAGTAAAACAAACGAGAAGATAGGTCATATATCTCAATGAATTACAAGTTTCTCATTCTGACTCAAAGACAAAAAGGAGAATCATTATAGTAGTTGTCCAGTGTGCACTCTTCTTTCAGGTTAAAACAGTGTGTTCTAAAATTTGCAACAGTTAGTGTTCATATGATGAAATATGATGAAATATGTATTGACAGGGTTTGGTGAGGCCGGATCGGAAAATATTTGGCTCTTGTTCATGACACACAGACCTTGTGCCACCCTCGCACTCAGTCAGTTAGTACATATTATGTATCATGGATGGTTAAAGTCCTTTTTCAGTGACCAAGCACTGTTTTAGACATGGAGATCCTGTCCTATATAACTCCAGGATTAAGAATACTATTATGATTTTATTTTTTCTCTAGAATACTTTCATTGTAAAGGGGTTTATACTAGGATTGCATTGCGTAGTTGTATCCTTCTTTGGAAATATTTTGACGGCTTGTGAATTCTCATCATTTAAATTTCCCATCAGGTTTGAGAAGATGATTTCTGGAATGTACCTTGGTGAACTTTGCCGAATTGTTTGCATGAACTTGGCTGACAAGAAACTGCTGTTCAACGGACAAGTCAGTGACAAATTCAAGACCAAAAACTGCTTCCTTACCAAGTTTGTGTCTGATGTGGAAAGGTTAGTGCAGAAAAAATGTGACAGATGAAGTGTACCCAATATAATGTTATCGTCATGTTATTGTCTGATTCTGAGTGTTACTCGGAAATGTGGCAGGGAGGTCAATGGCTGGACTGTGTTGAACCACTTCATTGTGACAAAAATCATTGGAGGATTATCAAATGACCATTGCAGTAATCTCCTCATCTGTTGCTTGTAGGATTTCAGTATTGATCTGTGACTTGCTTACAACTTAAACACGAAGGCACGCTTTAAAAGGAGCCTTAGGTCCCACTGGACCATTTGTCAATCAACCGTCGTGTGATGAAGAACTCTCAGAGTAAAGTCAGCTTGAGCTACAGCTACTCCAAAGCAGTGGACAGCGGGCGCATTCCTCAAAATTTTTTTATGTCTTCATTAAAATACAAGAAATTTTGAGATTTGTATTTCCTTTGTCCAATGGAAACTGTCTTTATTTGTGGCGGTAAATTTTAGATTGAAGTAGGTGGTTTGCACGTTGCCTCATTGCCACCATGCTGGTGGAAGTAAACAATAGATTTCTCATTAGCTCCTTTTGTTCATCTACCAGCATTTAAATTTGACCCGCACACGTCAATGGTGAGTGGCAAATGAGCCTCGGTCTTCCCAGGGAAGACTTCCTTATATAGTGCGCCTTCGTGTTTAACCCATGCTCTCCAGCTCAAGAGAGAAGGAAACCATGTAGCTGAATCAAATACTCAGTGCTCCAAGCTGCAACCATTTTGGTTGCCCTGGTGGTAAATTTCGCCAAATGGAGACCAACAGATTTAAGCAAACAAAGCGCAAACAAATTTTAAGGAATTGAAAAATTCATCAATGTTTGGTGGAGTATTAATGAAACATACAAACAGTATCTCCTGTCTTTCTCTTTTTCTCTCTCTCACTGTTCCACAACTCCCAGATTAAAATTGTATTGAACATGATTTGTTACTGTGTCTCAGCAATCTTGTAATAAAAATATGCCACCATCAGACATCCCCAGACATCCCCAGACTCTTAAGACTCTAGATTAAAATTATATCTTGTCTTAAAAAAACAAAGCAGAGCTGGCACTTTTCATTCTAAATTCCAGTCAGTAGGTCAGAAAGACTTCAATAGTTTTTCTTCATGACCAAAGGAGCAAACCTCTTTATCTATCAATTTTTCTTTGGATAGTCATGAAAGGCACAAGATAGAGGAGGTTCTAAAAGAAATGGAAGTGGAGAAACAAACCTCAGAGTCTGACATTGAGATTTTGCAGCGAGTTTGTGCTGCCCTCTCTATAAGAGCTGCCAGACTGGCTGCAGCAGGAGTTGCTACAATTGTCAAGGTATGTATTGTCAATTTAGAATTCTCTTTCTTTTTTTTTTTTTTTCTCTATTAATTAACCCCTTAACTCTTAGAAGTGATTAACATGTAACTTCTCCCCACTGTATCCCTGCATTATCCAGTAACCAGGTAATGAGAATACTCAAATCTATCAGGTAGAAGTTATTATCCCGTAACCAGGAACTGAGTAGCAGTCAGAGAGGAGAAATAACTATCAGATCTCTTAAAGTTGAAGAGTTAAAGATAATAGCCCATTTCTGAATTATCCTTGGCCTCCTTTTCAAAACGAGTCCTGGTGCTCATCCTTTCATATGATTATAAGTTTTCATTTACATGCAAATTCAACTCATTTTCACAAGAATGGTTGAGCACCAGGCCTCGTTTTGAAAAAGAGGCCAAGTGTAATTTGGAAATGGGCTATTTCACATGCATTCCTGATCATTTACTTTGAAGTTCAGAAGACTTTGAGCTCTGGAAAACTGGGGTAATATTATTGTGTTGAGCAGAAAAAGCACAAAAGAAAACTTACTAGTAGTAGCAGATCTTGACGTTCAGTGTCTGGGTTTTGTAGATTCTTAACATGCCCTGATCCTCACTGCGACTTGTCACAATTTGAATTTTTTACAAATTCGCTCAGGTTTTTGTTGTTTCAGTCAGTTAGATGTTGTCAACCAGAAGGTGAAAACTCAATTTAAATGCTTTGTTGTTGCTATCGCATTCATGTCATCCATGGCATTGCTCCATTCAGATTCATTTTATCTTGTCTTTGGGTACAGAAAACAGGGAACTACACAACTACAATTGCCGTAGATGGAAGCCTCTTTAAAAAACACCCACAGTTCAAGCGTTACATGCAAGAGACTCTCTCTGATATTTTGCCACAAGGTGATGTCACCTTGATGCTATCTGAAGATGGTTCAGGCAAAGGAGCTGCTCTCATTGCTGCAGTGGCGTCAAAATCGAAAAAACACTGAGCTTATCATCAGCTGAGTGGCTTTAATTATTATTTAATATTTATGTTATAATCATTATATTTTGCTGTAGAATAGCTAAGGACCTTCTGCTCATGGCAACATTAGAATGACACTTTGATGAGACAAAAGTTTCACAAACAGACTAAGCTCTTTCATACACTTGTTATCGTTCAAATTTATCGGTGGTTTGAATTCATTTCTCAATCAACCTATTCTCTAGTTGTGTTATTGAAGAGTAATGAGTTTTAAACAAAGACATTTGAACCATGGATAAAATTGAACAATATCGAGTACACTGTAAAATGAAGGCAGGTATATTTTTGCTATCCTTACCTTACAAATTCACACACAAAATAATTTTTTTGTTACATTTTATTCTTGACCAGTGGTTCCTGTAACAAAATTAAATTACACTTGATCTAACTACCGACAATAAATAACGACAAACGAAATAAATCTAGTGAAATGAATTAAAACATGCCTGACGGTTTGGATCTTAAGGGACACGAGACGAAGCATTACGAACGTACAATGACAACTAGGTACGTAAAATTAATGAAACTTTTCGCGCAAAAACTAAAATATATACTGACGCGAGGGGACTGAACCCTACAATGTCGCTGGACCGCTGGCCCTCAAAATTTGTTGCAACACTGAGTCTTTCATGAGAGGGTGAACACAACTTTCGTTACCGAATAAAAAATTTTAAACAATTAGTCTTTTGTGAATTTATTATGATAGTATACTAGTGAAATTAGATTTTTTTGGGAGGTTTATTTGTTTTTTGTTTGACTTGAAAGTATTTGTAAATTGTACGTGACATTTCTCATTCACTTTAAATTTGATATTGGTTGGAGTACTAAAAAATGCACCAACGGTACACCCTTAATGTACTCAAAACGATACAATATTTATCAAAACTTCTGGAGTTTTGCAAAGCACAGAAATTTGTAAACCTGTTGTTCATTTTGAAGAAATAAAAGTAGTTAAAAAAAAAACAGTTCGGACGTGTTTTTGTTGTTGTTGTTGTTGTTGTTTGGTTCTTTTTTTTTTTTTAACGTGTTTTTTTGTAACAGGCAGGCCACGTTGAATTTTGGTCGAGTTTCGTCTTTATCCAATCTCCTATGGTAGTTAGCTGCGTGCTTTAAAGCCCTTTTGACAGGGGTTACTCCTTGGATAATTGACTTCACATGATCCCGTGTTGTTAACTTCGTTTTGTTCTTGTCTTCATTTCTCGATTTCATTCCTGTTGTAAGAAAAGGTTGCGTGACGGACCAAAAGAAGGTCTACCGTGGAGGCAAGTACTGTGTCGACATAAAATTTGTTACTTTGCACTTGTATCCAGAGGGACTTTAGGAAACGAGGAAACGTTCAACCCCTCCTAGCGTCTTGTCTTAAATAAAAAAAAAAGGTCAGAAACATTTTAAGTCAAAATGACAGATAAAAATTCATTCGTACGTTGTTTAGCCGAAATGACGTCGTTCGAAATAAATATCGCTAATTTTTGTTTGTTTTGTTTTTTTTCGTGTCTTGCTGCAAAACCTCGGTTATGTTTTTGACGGATCTCTAATCCTCACTCATTTGGTAGCTAATGTGATAAAATTCTCAGAAGCCCTTCCTTCACCCACTACATCTACTCTCGCTCGTCGATCCCCGATGACTGGTAAGGACTGAAAACGAGGTTAACGATAACTTCCGTCTCGCCGCCGATACCTTTCTTTCGCTTTCTCATCCACGTACGAAGATTATCTTTTTTTCTAAATTGTACAGACGATCGAATTTCTCGCAAAGCCTTTTAAAGAGAAAAATCGCTCTAACTAACATATATCCGTGCGTTTTTGAGACTTTACCATTTCAGAAGGCGTGTGTAATCTAAAAAGTTATCAAGTAAGTACACCAACTTACATTGGCCAAAATGCATTTCCTCTAATTACCAACACCTATCTGGTCCAAAGTCGGCGGTAACAGAACAGCTCAGAGGCACAGCATTTTCCATCTTTCCTTTGATTTTATCTTCTTTCTTTCTTTCTTTTTTTTTTATTTTATCTAATAAGATCCCAGATTGTTCAATTTTCAAAGGCTTCACCTTTAACTTAAAAGGTATTCAAATTCCTATTTTGAAGATTTGAACAGAGGCAGAATCCGTGAAAGCTGATAACATGTTTGCAGCCACATCTTTTACCCAGTTAGTCTGTGAATCTCTGACGAGAGCCTTCACGGCGAAAGACGAGGTAATAGCTTACGGGTTTTACAACTATTACATATTTATACGCACAGAACACAGGTGAAAACCAATTTTCAGCGTAAAATGAAAAGACCGATTAGAAAGAGAAGGGGTAGAGGTGTTTTTTCGGATGGGTTTGTGCTACTTATTTCTCCAAATTTGGTCCCTACTTAGACAGAACCTGCTCTCCAAATTATCACCCTGTTAGAGAAATACATAACTCAGGAATGCAACAAATCCAGGCGGTTCATCAGAATTTAAAGCATTTGTTAGTTCTCTAAATTATATGCATTACAGGAAACGTCTCTAAAAACTGATACTCCATACTAGCTAAGAAGTCCCATAGTCTGGTAAGTACTTGTGTAGGTAATCTAGGAGATCAGTAAATGGTTTAAATACAAGAGTTAGAACTGATTAGTATGTACTGAGTCTCACTGAGTGTAGTCCTGTGGAGGATTTTTGTTGGTCGGAATGACAAACTTTGCAGCATCCATTATCAGAGTAGGTTAAGGTTGTTGAAACTCTAATCACAGCTAACAGCAGCCCTTCTCAGGACGACTTTCACCCAGGCTACACAAACAGCCAAAATAAATTTAGGAGAGTACACCTCCAAAATCAATATTGATGATTTTATTGTAAATTAGCAACTTTGTGGTATGCACTTGGTGTTAACAGTACTATCATGAGCCGTTTGTTCTGCAGGTGTCAGAGGTTTTAGAGGTGTTCGACTTGCCGAGTAAATCCATCCTGGAAGTCACCAGAATTCTGAGGGAAGACTTCGATAGAGGTCTGTCTGCTGATGAGAACGAACGAGAGAAGAGCTCAGTCAAAATGCTTCCAACATATGTAAGAAAGATACCTGATGGTTCAGAATCTGGCAACTTCCTTGCAGTAGATCTTGGTGGAACAAAGTTCAGGGTGTTGTCAACCTCGATACAAGATGGCAAAATTGAAGACAAAATTGAAAACCCACCACTTGATGAAACAATAAAGACCAGTGATGCTGAAACGTTTTTTAAATACATTGCTCACCATATTTCTCTTTTTGTCAAGAAACACGAGCTAAATGATCATCTGCTGCCACTAGGGTTTACGTTTTCTTTTCCAGTGAAGCAATCGTCACTCGCCTCAGGAGTTTTGATTCAATGGACCAAGGGATTTTCTGCTTCTGGGGTAGAAAATGAAGATGTTGTCAAACTATTAAAGAAGGCACTTGCAAGAGAGGGAATGGTGAGTTGATTTAATTTAAGTCTATGAAAACTACTTTGGCTCGGTGGATGGATGTATTCCACACACTTCTAGTTCTTCTAGTGCAACATGCTAATGACTAAGAAACCAGCTGGAATTTAGCATACTTTTGAACAGTTTAGAAAAAAAAAAAAAATCATAATCTCTTTTGTTCCACAGGGTTCTAATGTGGATGTGTTGGCCCTTGTCAATGACACCACAGGTACAATGATGTCTTGTGCATTTGAGAATCCATCAGTCAGAGCTGGGTTAATCTTGGGCACTGGAACCAATGCATGCTATATGGAGAACCTTGACAATATTGCTAAATCGGATGGCGACAGAGATGAACCACGACAGATGATTATTAACACAGAGTGGGGTGCATTTGGTGATAAGGGCTCCTTAGATCATCTTCTCACGGAGTATGATAAACAACTTGATAGGGAATCCAGTAACTCTGGTGAACAGCTGTGAGTAATCTTTGCATATTATGATAAATGCATCTAAATCGTGGCAGAGGAGGGGGTGGTGGTACTTTTTAGTAACAGGCTAATGGGGATGTGCTTTTGGATGGGGTTGCACTTTAACAACTGGAAACTGGATTGACTATAATGGGGTTGCACCTTCAATAGAGTTATTCGAATAGGGTTGCACATTTTTTCAGGATTTTTGGGGCAAGAAAATTCTAGTTGTATTGTAAGTAGAAATTTGAATGTGAGAAGATTTGCAGATACAAAGTTGTTACCGTACTACAAAAGTGATTAAGAGGGGTCTATAATTGGACACAGAATATTTTGTAATGGGAATGGGATTCTGAAATAACAGTAGTACAACCCACAGCAGCAAACATTGACCCAAGTATGCAACCCTCTCCTCTGATCTAAATTTTGCTTTCCAAATCCAAAAATAGTTGTTTGAATGTCTCAGAATTCTGTGTAATGACTCCTTTCTTTTTAGATTTGAGAAGATGATTTCAGGGATGTATCTTGGTGAACTTGTCCGAATTGTTTGCTTGGACTTGATTGAGAAGAAATTGCTGTTTAAAGGACAAGTCAGTGAAAAATTCAGGACCAAAGACAGCTTTCCTACTGAGTTTGTGTCTTGGGTTGAAAGGTAATTGAAAAATTGACCAATCATTCTTTCTTGTCTGGGGGGGAAGGGGTGTGCATGATGGATTTGGGGGGGTCACTTGGTTTTAACCGTTTCACTCCCAAAAGCTGATTGCTGATTCTCCTCTCTATGCAGCTACACATTTTTTGATATTTAGTTATGAGAATTTGGTGCTAGATCATGGTAACAAGTTCTACCTGATATATATATGTATTCTCATTACTTATTTGGTGGATAATGGAGGGATATTATGGGGAGAAGTTACTTGTTGATCACTTCTGGGTTAGAGAAAGATGGAGTATGGGTCAGACATCACAAATGGAGTATAATGACTGCCAATAAACTGCCGACAACAGGAAGATCATGAAAATGTTATATTAGGTACATTTTATCATGACACAGCCAAAATCTTCCACCACTCCCCCCCTTCCCTGCAATAAATGATGAGCAGTCCTTATGAGTAATGCAAACAATTTTTTCAAAATTTTACAGTGGAGTACTACAATCATTAAAAATGAAAGTTTAATCACATTCCTTATGACCAATAAAAAACATCTTTCTTTTTTCTTCGGCAGTGGTGAAAGGGAACAGATAGACAAGGTTCTTAAAGAAATGAAGATAGAGAAACAAGCAGTGGAATCTGACATTCAGATTTTGCAGCGAGTGTGTGCTGCAGTCTCCATAAGAGCTGCCAGATTGGCTGCAGCAGGGGTTGCTACAATTGTCAAGGTATGGTAAAACTGTAATTTTCTTTGGTGATCACTTCTGGGTTATGGAAAGATGGAGCACTGGTCAGACATCACAAATGGAGTATAATGACTGCCAATAAACTGCCGATGATAAAACTATGTCAAAATTCACATTTTGACATATTTTTAGTTTGTTTTTTCCTAAGTATTATCCTATCTGTTCATTTAGTTATCATAATTTCATTATCTCTGAATGCTTACTGCAAAACGTAAGAGACCATCCATGGGCACTGTAAATATTTGCAAAATGTTGGTTTGTTGAGAAAGTAAAACCAATTAGAAGTGAAAATCTAACAGAAACAGCACTTAATGCATAGTTTCTCTTCATCCCAATTTCCAGAGCAAAAGGTCATGGTAAACCAATAGGGCAAGCAGTCATTTTTGTTTCAGAGTCTGTTTTTCTTACTGCATTCCTTGCATTTTAACAGAATGATTTTCATTATAATTTAAATCTGTTAACAGAAAACTGGGAACTACACCACTACAATTGCTGTTGATGGAAGCCTCTTCAAAAATCACCCACAATTCAAACGTTACATGCAAGAGACTCTTAAAGATATTTTGCCGCAAGCTAACATAACCCTGATGTTATCTAAGGATGGTTCAGGCAGAGGAGCAGCCCTTGTTGCTGCAATTGCTCAAAGAATGCACACAACTTGAGTTCATGGCAATTTTTTTCAGATAATTTCTTAGCCTTTGTTTTAACTGGCAGCATAATCAGTGACAAACTACATAGGAAAAGAGCCAAAATTACAAAGAAAGACATTTTTATGAATCTAAACCTAATCTCCTTCTTACCATAAGCAAAAGATTTATTGACATTTTCTGTTCGGCTTTATCAGCTACAAAAAAAGTGGCCATGAAGCAAAAATACAAAAACCTCTTTTCTTGATTTATGGGTGCTCTCTCGAAACCTCTTTTCTTAAATTAGTGGTGCTTTCTCAATTGCTTATGCAAGTTTTGTGCCTTTGAGGGAATAAAAGTCTAGTGTTATGGGTGATGTGGAGTTGTCTACCTAAGGCCTTCACTGAAATTGGGCTTTTCTACAAGAAATTCGGAGGGGAAGGAAAATTCAACACTGTAAAAGCAGGTAGTAAATGGGGATTACAACAACTTGACTCAGTTCTACGAGGGGGGTAAAGGGAACACAGGGAGGGGTCCTGCATACATTTCTCACACATCAAAAAGTTGAAATAATGCATCACAAAAAAAATCACATATTACTAAACTTAATTATGGAACGATCTTCCCCTTTTTATTAGAAATATATCTTCAGTTAATGCTTTCAAGAAGGCTCTTAAAACTCATTTATTCCAGAAGGCGTTTCC